TCTAACCTTCTTCAACGTAAATGTGCTTACATAGCCTTCCAGTAATAATAGAGTAAAATAATAAATTTAATAAAAATAATAGTAGAGTAAAATAGTGGAAATGTAATAATAATAGAGTAAAATAATAGAGTAAAATAATAAATATAATAATAGAGTAAAATAATGTAAAAGTAACAATAATACGTAATAGAGTAAAATAATAATAGAGTAAAATAATAAATATAATAATAGAGTAACATAATGTAAAAGTAACAATAATAATAGAGTAAAACAATAAACGTAATACAAATAATAATAGAGTAAAATAATGTAAAAGTAACAATAGAGTAAAATAATAGAATAAAATAAATATAGTAAAATAATAAATGTAATAAGAGTAAAATAATGTAAATGTAATAATAGAGTAAAATAATAAATATAATAGAGTAAAATAATAATAGAGTAAAATAATGTAAAAGTAACTATAATAATAGAGTAAAATAATAGAATAGAATAAATATAATAGAGTAAAATAATAAATGTAATAAGAGTAAAATAATGTAAATGTAATAGTAATAGAGTAAAATAATAAATGTAATACAAATAATAATAGAGTAAAATAATAAATATAATAGAGTAAAATAATGTAAAAGTAAAAATATAATAATAATAAAGTAAAATAATAATAGAGTAATGTAAATGTAATATTAAATAGAGTAAATTAATAAACGTAATACAAATAATAATAGAGTAAAATAATGTAAAAGTAACAATAATAGAGTAAAATAATAGAATAAAATAAATATAATAGAGTAAAATAATAAATGTAATAACAGTAAAATAATGTAAATGTAATAATAATAGAGTAAAATAATAAATGTAATACAAATAATAATAGGGTAAAATAATAAATTAATAGAGTAAAATAATGTAAAAGTAACAATAATAAGAATAAAATAATAAATGTAATAATGAATATCGTAAAATATAAATGTAATAACAATAGAGAAAAATAATAAATGTAATAACAATAGAGGAAAATAAATATAATAAAGTAAAATAATAAATGTAATATGAACAGTAAAATAATGTAAATATAATAATAATAATAGAGTAAAATAATAAATGATCTTGACACAAGTATAAGCTGAGGGGGCTTTTTCCAGCCTAAATAAACTCATGCTCATGTATATACGCTATACTGTCTTCAAAGTCTGCAATAAAAAAGGTGACTGTGGCCACAGGAGGGAGCAAGAGGCACGGAAATCATTGAATTCGGTGTGCATATTATTGGCCAGGGTTCCTGGTATTTGTGCTTATACTTCTAGGACTAGCAAATGTTGCAGAAACAATCCCCTCTGAGCAGACGATTGATAAGACTGCTGCTAAGCCCTACTGAATCCGATGGGCTTACTCCCATAAAACTAGCCGCAGGAATACAGTCATGTTCTTCCCCAATTCAGTGGATGGATCAAATTGGAAACTACACAATAAAGTGTTCCATTTTAGAGAAAAGGGGTAGAATATATCTTCAAAGACAGTATGACCTTGGAGATAGTGCATCTCTGCACATTAATGGAGTGGGCCAAGCAGTGGTTGACCATTCCAGATTAGCTTTGTGGCATCTGCAATTGAAATTTATTAGTAAAGGTAAAGGTTTCCCCTGACATAAATTCCAGTCGTGTCCACCTCTGGGGGGTCATGCTCATCTCCATTGTGAAGCCGAAGAGCCAGCATTGTCCATAGACATCTCCAAGGTCATGTGGCCAGCATGACTGCATGGAGCGCTGTTACTGTCTTGCAGAATCGATACCTATTGATCTACTCACATTTACATGTTTTTGAACTGCTAGGTTGGCAGAAGCTGGGCCTAACAGCAGGAGCTCACCCCACTCCCTGGATTCCAACTGCTAACCTTTCGGTCAGCAAGTTCAGCAGCTCAGCGGTTTAACCCGCTGTGCCATGGGGGGGTCCTAAAACATACTATTTTTAAAAACAAGTACAAGCTGATTGTAGTGATGACTTATTGAATCAACTGGGAAGTACATCACCCAAGAGCAGTGTTTCTCAACCTAGAGTCAGGACTCCTGGGGGATGTTGGGAGGGAATGTCAGAGGGGTCACCAAAGACCATACAGAACACACAGTATTTTCTGTTGGTAATGGGGGTTCTGTGTGTGCAGTTTGGCCAAATTCTATCGTTGGTGAGGTTCAGAATGCTCTTTGATTGTGAGGTGAACTATAAATCCCAGAACTACAACTCCCAAATGTCAAGGTCTATTTCCCCAAAACTCCACCAGTGTTCACATTTGGGCATATTGAGTATTCCAAGTTTGGTCCAGATCCATCATTGTTTGAGTCCACAGTGCTCTCTGGATGTAGGTGAACTACAACTCCAAAACTCAAGGTCAATGCCCACCAAACCCTTCCAGTATTTTCTGTTGGTCATAGGAGTTCTGCGTGCCAAGTTTTGTTCAATTCCATCATTGGCGGAATTCTGAATGTACTTTGATTGTAGGTGAACTATAAATCCCAGCAACAACTCCCAAATGACAGAATCACACAAACCCCACCAGTATCCAAATTTGGGCGTGTTGGGTATTTGTGCCAAATTTGGTCCAGTGAATGAAAATATATCTTGCAAATTAGATATTTACATTATTATTATTATTAGATATTATTAGATATTAGTTATTTATCAGGGATCGTGGCATTAGGAAGGTTGAGAAACATTACCCAAGACCATGAAGAGTCACTGGACTAGATACCTTCATGCCTCGACTTCAGATAGATTCATTGGCAGTTTCATATGAAATCTCATACGAAATCATACGAAATATCATACGAAAGCTGACTGGCACAACCTGGGGATCACAACCAGATACAGTGAAGACATCTGCCCTTGCGCTGTGCTACTCTGCTGCTGAGTACGCATGCCCAGTGTGGATCACATCTCACCACACTAAAACAGTAGATGTGGCTCTTAATGAGACATGCCGCATTATCACAGGGTGTCTGCGCCCTACACCACTGGAGAAATTACACTGCTTAGCCGGCATCCGCCAGGAAGTAGCAGCCAATAGTGAAAGGACCAAGGCAGAGACATCTCCAGCTCATCCCTTGTTTGGGTATCAGCCAGCACGTCAACGACTTAAATCAAGAAATAGTTTTCTTAAGATCTACAGAGACACTCGCTGGAACACCTCAGCAAGCGAGAGTTCAAAAGTGGCAGGCTCAAACCCAGCACCTCAATCTGTGGGTGATACCAGATGAGAGACTCCCTCCTGGGCACACAGAAAACTGGGCGACTTGGAAGGCGCTGAACAGACTGCGCTCTGGCACCATGAGATGCAGAGCCAATCTTAAGAAATGGGGCTACAAAGTGGAATCCACGACATGCGAGTGTGGAGAAGAGCAAACCACTGACCACCTGCTGCAATGCAACCTGAGCCCTGCCACATGCACCATGGAGGACCTTCTTGCAGCAACACCAGAGGCACTCCAAGTGGCCAGATACTGGTCAAAGGACATTTAATCAGCTACCAAGTTTGCAAAATTTGTGTTTTTTTTAAATCTGTTTGTTTTTTTTGTTCTGTTAGAAATGCAATACAATGTTCTGGTTGCGGATGACACAATAAATAAATATTGTCAGTTTGATAAGATGCGTAATAGGAAACCTTGGGCGTGAGAATGGGAATGTTTTCCAGTGTCTTGGCCTTGGGAATCAGTGCGGACAGGGCAGTGAACCCAGGAACGTGTCTTTCTGTTTTAACTGCCCTTTCGCTCAAAATATCGGAAACAAAAGCAAAACACACAAATTGAAGGACAACATGTTTTGTTTTTTTATTGCTACCAGAAGGCTTTCCTCAGTTATCACTGCTGAATGCAATACCTTCCAAAGGGCTTTTGAAGAGAGCTTTAAAATCAAGGAGCGATTGGTTCTGAGCAGCAGAGCTTTGTAACATCGATATACAAGATCTTTCACATCGTTGTTCTTGCCCTCACCTCAGGTTAAAAAGTTATATGGACACAAAAAGTAGGAGTGGAGTGAAGGTGTGGGAAGAAAGTGGAGAAGAAACCTGTGCTGATCATTGACACAAAGTGAAAACTGCCCCGGCACAGACTCTGGGATGTCGGCTAGATTTTGGTTTCACTACATTTTGCATTTAATGCACGTATTCACTTGAAGTGTTGTGTGTTTGTGGATGTGTTTTAAAATTTATTTGGTCAGTCTGCCGGCAATCTCAAGATTGTATTTTTGAAGGCTTTCATGACCAGAATCACTGGTTTGTTGTGGTTTTTTCGGGCTATATGGCCATGTTCTAGAGGCATTCTCTCCTGACGTTTCATCTGCATCTATGGCAAGCATCCTCAGAGGTAGTGAGCCTGTTGGAGGATGCTTGCCATAGATGCAGGCGAAACGTCAGGAGAGAATGCTTCTAGGAACATGGCCATATGAAAATCCACAACAACCCAATCTCAAGATGGCTTCCAGTTTCCCAGCTTTCACTCTGCTCTGGCCACAAAAAGCCTGGTGTTTAGGATTTTCGGGCTATATGGCCATGTTCCAGAAGCATTCTCTCCTGACGTTGCGCCTGCATCTATGGCAGACATCCTCAGAGGTTGTGAGACCTCATAACCACTGAGGATGCCTGCCACAGATGCCGGCTAAACGTCAGGAAAGAATGCTTCTGGGATCTATGGCAAGCATCCTCAGGTTGTGAGACTTCACAGCCACTGAGGATGCCTGCTACAGATGCAGGTGAAACGTCAGGAGAGAATGCTTCTGGATCTATGGCAGGCATCCTCAGAGGTTGTGAGATGCCTGCCACAGATGAAGACGAAACGTCAGGAGAGAATGCTTCCAGAATATGGCCATTCAGCCCAGAAAATCCACAACAACCCAATCTCAAGATTGCTTCCAGTTTCCCAAGAAACTTTGCAATGAATTATATGCTTTCACCAGGTGTCAACTTCCCCAGCTCTGTATTTTTTTGGTACAAACATATTTCAGAGGCATCCTTTCTGACTGACAGATTTTGAATATAGGTCTAATTGTAGTTACCACATTAAAAACACCAAAAGTGCTAAATGACGAAACAAGAGAAAGACAAGGAAGGGCTCTTGGTTCATTTGGAAAGTAAATAAAAGGAGCTTTGCTCAAGTCAAAGTGCCAAAAATACAAGGGAGTCATGCACTAGAAGGTCCAGAACGCTCTAAAGAAAAGCAGAAGGACTGAGTAAAGAAAAGAGAGTTCTCAAAAAGAGGGGCTTCTAGAAATTTGTGGAAAGGATTTCTTTTTCACACTCTGTGAACTTTCCAACACAATGGATGAGATTACAACAACACAACAGCAGACTGAAACAGTGCAGCAGACAACACTAGGGAGAAAAACACAATTTTTGCTACTTTTTTTTGTTTGGTTTTTGGGTCTTTTTTTGAAAGGCTTTTTATAATTTTTTTGGTTTTTAAGTACTTAAATCAAAGTTTAACTATAATTAGCCGCACAAGGAAAGTAGGAAGGGGGATTTTTTCTCTCTCTCCAAAGGATAACATAGCTCCTTTCTTTCAGCCCTTGCAAGGTACAGCTTTCACTCAGCTCTGGCCACAAAAAGCTTGGTGTTGTGTTATGGACAGAGTAGCAGCTTTTCTCCCAAGGTGCCATTGCGCAGAGGACTGCTACATGACGGAAATGGGCTGCAACGGAGGGCAAGGGGAAACGCTCCCCGCTTGCCGCGAAACGTCGGCGCTGCAGGCGGAGGCGGCCTTGCCTTCGAGGGCCGCTCCCTCCGGCGCATTCTCCTCGTTGTAGAGCCGCTTGATCCCGTCGTAGAAGTCGTCCACCTCCATCTCTTCCACTTTGCGCTTGGCCGTCGCTTGTTTGCACCTGCTGGGAGCCGCCCGGCGCTGGTTGAGTGCAGTGACACCTTTGTTTGGCACTTCTGGTTTGCTGTTGTCCTTGGAGTTTGAGCCTGGGACGGAGGAGGAGGGATGGAAGCGGAAGACCCCCGCGTGGCAGGTCACCAGGTTGTGCTTGAGGGGGCTGTAGACGTAGACCGAGTTGGGCGGCAGAGGTGGCTGCAGTGCGGAAAGGTGCTGTGCCACGAGTTCCCGGCAGTGGATCAGCTGGGAGCTGTCCATCTGGGTTTCAGAGGGGAAGGAAGCAGAAGAGAAAGATGTCACTTCCAGAACAAGGAAAGGAGTCAACGCAGAAATGGGCAGCCAATGCAGAGGTCACTTTACTACCAGATGTCTTTTGCACCTTATCTGGAAAAGTCTAGTACAGGCAGATTCTGTATTACACATTCATTCATTTATTAATTAATTCAAGTCACGCTGACGTAAACATCGTGTCCAATTTGCCCTTTCTGCCCTCCCTGAAACCTGGCAGCAGATGGTCTCCCAGATTTCTAAGGCACTGGGAAGCTAAGCTCCAAACCAAGGTTATTTATTTATTTACTAGCTGTACCCGCCACACTTTGCTGTGGCCAACCTTCCCTCTTTCTCTCCTTCTTTATTTATTTTTATTTATTTACTATGCTTCTATACCGCCATTCTCAGCCCGAGGGCGACTCATGGCAGTTTACAAAACGGCACAATTCGATGCCCACAACAGTAGAAAAATAATTTAAACAATAAAAACATTTATTACAGGTAAAAATTCATTGCAATTAACATCAGTAACACAACAAAAAATTCATTACAATTAACACCAGTAACTCCCTTTCTTTCCCGTCTTTCCTTCTCTTCTTCTTTCCTTCTCTATCTCTTTCCTTCCTTCCTTTTTCTTTCTCTTCTGCTGTTTCTCTTTTCTTCTTTCTCTCTTTCCTTTCCTTCTTTCCCTCTTTCTCCACATCTTTCCTTTCCTCCCTCTTTCTTTCCCTCTTTACCTTTTTCTTTCCTTCTCTCCTTTCTTCCTTCTCTAACTTTTCTTCCTACCCCCTTTTTCTTTCTCTCCCTCTTTCTCTCCTTTCTTCCTTCTCTACTTCTTTCCTTCCTTCCTTTTCTCTTTGCTTCCATGCTTCCTTCTCCCTTTCCTTCCTTCCTTCCTGTCTTTCCTTCTCTTCTTCCTTCCTTCTCTGTCTCTCTTTTCTTCTTTCTCTCTTTCCTTCCCTCCCTCTTTCTCTACATCTTTCCTCCTTCCTTTGCTCCCTCTTTCTTTCCTTTCCTTTTTCTTTCCTTCTCTCCTTCCTTCCTTCTCTAACTTTTCTTCCTTCCCCCTTTTTCTTTCCCTCCCTCTTTCTCTCCTTTCTTCCTACTCTATCTCTTTCCTAAGTCCCTTCTGCTGTGTTTTTCAGTATTTTTATGAGTGAATGACATACATTGGGTTGTTAGGTGTCTTGTGTCCAAATTTGGTGTCAATTCCCCCAGTGGTGTTTGAGTTCTGTTAATGCCACAAACGAACATTACATTTTTATATAGATTTACAATATTTATATCCCACCTTTCTCAGCCCGAATGCCACTCAAGGCAGCTTAGGTTAGAGGAGTAGTCATGAGCCCAGTAACTGTTTCAGCTGTTTAATTCATGTATTCATACAGTTTGTTTCATTCAGATGACACAAAATAGTACACTCCCCTCCGAAACGGAAATATCAATGAAATTAAAGGAAAGATGGGAACGGTAACAATTTGGTTGCCTGAATTTTGGCATTTGGCTGCAGGCACTGGCAGGCACTGGGGTCCCCAGTAGCGCAGTGGGTTAAACCCCTGTGCTGGCAGGACCGATGACCGACAGGTCGCCAGTTCGAATCAGGGGAGAGCTCCTCATGCGGGTACATGAGAGAAGCTTCCCACAAGGATGATAAAACATCAAAATATCTGGGCGTCCGCTGGGCAACGCCCTTGCAGACGGTCAATTCTCTCACACCAGGAGCGACTTGCAGTTTCTCAAGTTGCTCCTGACAAAAAAACAAACTGGCAGATGCTTGCACTTTGGGCCTGCACGCCACACACGCACTCTCTTTTATGTGGCTTACAGGCCCAAAGTGCCTGCGCCTGCCAGGGCCTGCAGTCGAGTGCCAAATAAGACGTGGAATGGCAGCCCCTGGGTCCAAATCTATATCCTGGATGAGAATGACAACCCCTGCTTTTTGGTCAAAGTGATACAGAGCCCAAGCGATGATGCGGCTGTAGGCAGCTCCTTGTGCCAACTTTTGGCCAGAGAATTTGACTTGGGCACCAATAGCGAGGTGCATTACTGCCTCAAGCAACCTTGGAAAGAGAGCACATGTTTGGCTTTCAGGCCACCAATGGGACGAAAATATTCCTTTTTTTTTTTTTTTTTTGGACCTGGGACAAAAAAAAAACGTTCAGGAGAGGCACTCAAAAACTAAAATGGGGCCTTGTGAATGAAACAAACTGAAACAGATAGTGATTCTATGCAAATGTACAAGACTAATTATTTTATTTATTATTTACTTATTTCCAGTATTTATATTCCGCCCTTCTCACCCCGCAGGGGACTCAGAGCGGATTACAAGTAAACACATATATGGCAAACATTCAATGCCAGTTTGACAAACAACATTTAACAGACAAAGGCTATTTAACTTTTTCTTTCTGGCCACCAGGGGAGCTGCTGCTTTTTCATCGTCCATCAACGACACCGATGAAGTTCTTCCGCATTCCGCATGCTTTGCTGGAGTCTTTTTTATGGCCTCATAAATTAGTTAAATTAGCCTCCCCACACATAGGTGGTACCTAATTTTCCTACTTGACAGATGCAACTGTCTTTCGGGGTGCAAAGGTCGACAACAAGCTACACAATTGGTCAGAAGCTCACTCCGACCCAGGCTGGCTTCAAACTCATGACCTTTTGGTCAGAAGTGATCTTAATGCAGCTGACACTCAGCCAGCTGCGCCACAATCCCGGTGCCTCCTAACCTTAGCTTCCTGCCTCCTAACCTTAGTTCCCTGTTCCTTCAGTTAAAAGGTGGCTTACAGTCACAATTAAAAGGCAACAAATTATAGCACAGCAACTAAAAACTGTGTTAATAACGTGACAGCCAGGAAGAACACAGCCTGATCACAAGAAAATCTAAGGTACCACTCCAAAAACTTGAAAGTAAACAAGGAGGTAAATGAATGAGTGAGAATGGTGGGGTCCTGTTTGAAGGACAGAGACCAACAGGTTGTTATCTTTGCACCCATATATATCCTTTATGTCTCTCTTTCTGGTAGTAAAGTGCCTTGAATCCCACATTGGGGAAAAGGTGGAGCACGAGATCAATCTATCCATCAATACAAATGGCATCTCTAGTGAACACAAGCCATCCCACCATCACCAGTTCCAGGGTGTCTACCTGTGCCTTCTGGAGCAGTTCGATGATGAGGGCAAGCCAATCGGGAATGAGCTTCTCCACTTCCAGGCTGACGATGGCCAACGCCAACATGGAGCCCTTGAAAGGAAGGAGCTGGTAGCAGGCCAGGCAGTGCAGCAGCTGCTTGGTGAGCAGAGCCACGTGCTGGGACGGGTTCACCTTGGGTAAAGTGGTCAGCAGTTGAGGTTTGGTGGACAAGGCAACTGCATGGAACTGGATGGGGACAAGGAGAAGAGCAACAAAGTGATGTTAACTCCAATGATAGCTAAAGACCTTGAGGGCACTTCTTACTTGTGTCACTAACATACTTGAAAGAATCATAGAATCAAAGAGTTGGAAGAGACCTCATGGGCCATCCAGTCCAACCCCCTGCCAAGAAGCAGGAATATTGCATTCAAATCACCCCTGAAAGATGGCCATCCAGCCTCTGTTTAAAAGCTTCCAAAGAAGGAGCCTCCACCACACTCCGGGGCAGAGAGTTCCACTGAACAGGTCTCACAGTCAGGAAGTTCTTCCTTGTGTTCAGATGGAGTCTCCTTTCTTCAGATCCTGTCTGACCTTAGAAACTAAATAAGGTCAACCCTTGTTAGTACTTGGATGGGAGACCACCATTCAGTATCAGATGCTCTAGGCCAGTGGTTCTCAACCTGTGGGTCCCCAGTTGTTTTGGCCTACAACTCCCAGAAATCCCAGACAGTTTACCACCTGTTAGGATTTCTGGGAGTGGAAGTCTGAAACATCTGGGACCCACAGGTTGAGAACCACTGCTCTAGGCTGTATTTAAGAGGAAGGAGTTGGCAAAAATACCCTATGAGTATCCTTGCCTAAGAAAACATCTTGAAATTCATGGGAGCTATCTAAATCTATAAAGTCTAAACAGGCATGGGCAAACTTCGGCCCTCCAGGTGTTTTGGACTTCAACTCCCACAATTCCTAACAGTTGGTAGGAATTGTGGGAGTTGATATCCAGAACACCTCGAGGGCCAAATTTTGCCCATACCTGGTTTAGACTTTATAGATTTAGTCCAAAACGCCGGGAGGGCCAAAGTTTGCCCATTCCTGATCTTAAAAGTATTGGAGAATTGGCTTTGCTGTGAGAATCATAGAATAGAATCATAACATAGAGTTGGAAGAGACCTCATGGGCCATCCAGTCCAACCCCCTGCCAAGAAGCAGGAATATTGCATTCAAAGCACCCCTGACAGATGGCCATCCAGCCTCTGCTTAAAAGCTTCCAAAGAAGGAGTTTCCACCACACTCCAGGACAGAGAGTTCCACTGATGAACAGCTCTCACAGTCACGAAGTTCTTCCTAATATTCAGATGCAATCTCGTTTCCTATTGTTTGAAGCCATTGTTCCGTGCCTTAGTCTCCAGGGCAGCAGAAAACAAGTTTGCTCTCTTCTCCCTATGTCTTCCGTTCACATATTTATACATGGCTATCATCACATCTCCTCTCAGCCTTCTCTTCTGCAGGCTAAACATGCCCAGCTCTTTAAGCCCCTCCTCATAGGGCTTGTTCTCCAGACCCTTGATCATTTTAGTCGCCCTCCTCTGGACACATTCCAGCTTGTCAAGATAGGCAAAGAGCGTCAGAATCACATTACTCCGCTTTCTTCCAGCTTTGATGTTTCCATCACACTGATCATACATTTTCTTGCCTATCTAAATACACTTAGGGATTTAATTCACCCAAAACATTTTTTTTGCTTAAGCAGAGGGACTTTGTAACTGGAATCCTATTTTGAATCCCATATATACTCGAATATAAGCCAACCCAAATATAAGCCAATGCTCCTAATTTTACCACAAAAAACTGGGAAAGCATATTGACTCAAGTATAAGCCGTGGGTGGGAAATGCACCTCTCAACATCTAATAACCTCTCAACAAAAGATTGCTCCAGGCACTGCCAGGCAATCAAATGCTCCTCAAGGTGGTCAGTTGAAACATTCACACCTAGCTTCAGCAGACAAGAGTCCTTTGTCTCACCCGGGTCATTCCACAGATATATAAACCCCTTTTCCTAGTTCCAACAGACCTACTACCTCTGAGGATGCTTGCCATAGATGCAGGTGAAACGTCAGGAGAGAATGCCTCTAGAACATGGCCATATAGCCCGAAAAAAACCCTACAACAACCCAATGATTCTGGCCATGAAAGCCTTCGGCAATACAAACCGAATAGTTTGCCCTGAAGGACTGCATTGTCCTCTTCTCCTGTTTAACCTCCTGGGTGGAATACATCCCTTCCACAACGATTCCCCACCCAATGTCCTGCTTTTCCCAGAAAGAATTGGATTTCATTTAAAATATTTACAATATGGAGGAAATCCAGTGGAGTGGCCGTGTGCAGATCCCAGTTCAATTTGTCCAGAATGATCTTCTCCATCCTGCGAATTTCAGCTGGAGAGCAGCCGCAAAAGCTGTCTCTGGCCAACACCTTCAGTACTGGAATCCTCTGCAAAATGGAGGCAAAGAAGCAAAACAGAACATGAGGATCTTTAAGGCGCAATTTGAAAACACCACGGTCCTTTGTGAACTCAGACCAATCTAGTTCAGTGTTGTATTTCTTGGCCCCAGATCTCAAGCATGTCACAAGGAACACTCTTAGATATTTTCGTTCGCTCTTGACTTTTCAGGATCTGAGCCTCCTTCTAATCAGGGACGAAAGAGGCTGCCAACAACAACCTAAAGAAATGTCCTAACTGACTTTTTGGAAAACTGTACGTAAAAAGTGTTTTCGCCTGCTGTACATCACCTCAGGAGACCTGGTGAGCTTAGGTAAATGAACACAGGATTTTCTTGTTAAGGCTGCATCAGATAATGTTCCTTCATCATCATATATCTAATCACAGTAAGAGCATTATCTCATTGTTGCTTTCGTTTTCAAAGCAATTCTTATCACTTATTTAGTACAGAAACATTAAAGAATAAATCTTAATATACCTCTATAGTCAAGCTGTTGTTATCAAAATGATTAAAGCTTTGTAAGACCAAAGAAGGAAAGATATAAATACTCAAAGGAGAGAAAATAAACAGTCTCTTTGCTTGGTTACTCCGAGTATAATTGAAAACTTTGCAGATTCGACCCACAACTCTTTCTTTCATAATACAGTTTCCTCGCTACTTTCGTGTTTCGCTTATCGCGGACTCCCTGTTTCGTGGGTTTAAAAAAAAAAGAATTTAAGTAGCGAGGAAACGCTGAGGAGGCACACAGGAGCGTTCCTGTGCCTTTCCCAGATGTATCCAGCAATGGACACTGCTGAGGAGGAAACATACCTCATCTTCCTCAATGGTCTTGGCAGCAAGGAAGAAGCAGCTGATTGCAATACAGTTCAGGTACTTTGGACGAGCCTGCAAGGTAGGAGACAGAAAGAGCCATAGGTTATGAAAAACTCACCTTCTGAGAGTAACCTCCTTAACAGACCCCTTGACAAAAATGGGATAGCTAGGCAACAAAGATCAAATGGTTGGCATCCTGTTAGTGGCAAAATAGACATAAATAAGCCTTGTTTTGGTCTACGTGAAGGTCTTCTCCCTCCACAAGTCCATACTGTAGAGCCACTGCCATATCTCACTGCAATTCCATTTTGGAATGGTGCCGTTAAACATTTGCCTATGTTCCTGTAGCACAGTGGTTCCCCAACCTGCGGTCCGTGGAGAATGAAAATATGGTCTGCAAGAATGAAAATATGGTCCGCGGCCTCACCATTACTACACCATTGCTTTGAAACCATGGGGCAACAAGTGTTGCCCCATGGTCTCATGAAACCCCCTTATAGTGTCGAGGCAATGGCGATGTTGGGAGGGGAAAGTCTGACTATCCACAAAAATTACTACTACTACATCAGCTCTAGATTATTACTGATAGTTTTCTGTAGGTGAGCAGATGGTGACTACTGGGAGGCATATGTTTTGAATCAGAAACTAGAGCTGATGTGGTCTATCCAATGCAATTTTCTGAATCAGGACCCCAAATAACCAAATTGAATCTAAAGCTGACCAAAAACTGATTAATAACCCTTTTGGTACTAATGTTGAGAGAATAGTCCCTGGTCAAGTTGTCCCTGGCCAAAACAAGGTTGGGAACCATTGCTTTAGCACAAGGCATGGGCAAACTTTGGCCCTCCACATATTTTGGACTTTAACTCCCACAATTCTTAACAGCTGGTAGGCTGATAAAAACAGCGGGACTGTGGCGCAGCTGGCTGGGAGTTAGCTGCATTAAGATCACTACTGACCAAAGGTCATGAGTTCGAAGCCAGCCTGCGTCGGGAGTGAGCTTCTGATCAATTTGCAGCTCGAAAGACAGTTGCATGTGTCAAGTAGTAAATTTAGGTACTGCTTATGGGGGGAGGCTAATTTACGACGCCATAAAAATCTCCAGCAAGCATGCAAAGAATGAGGAAGTACTTCATCAGTGTCACAAATGGGCAGTGAACGACAGCTCCCCTGGCGGCCAGAATACCCTCATGAAAAAGCTGGAATGTTAAATAGCCCTCTGTGTGTCTGTCTATATATGTTGTGTGTTTATGGCATTGAATGTTTGCCATGTATATGTACATTGTAATCCGCCCTGAGTCCCCTGTGGGGTGAGAAGGGCATAATATAATACTGTAAATAAAATAAACAAATAAATTGAAGTCCAAAACATCTGGAGGACCCAAGTTTGCCCATGATGCCAACTAATGGCATTATCCACTGATTTCTCTGGAATCTCCCAGCAGATGATGCCATCATTTTGCACAAGAGTGGCATCCTATTCAGAGTACACCGATTTGCACAAACATAGCTGTATTCAGTTCTTGTGGATTTTTTCGGGCTATATGGCCATGTTCTAGAGGCATTTCTCCTGACGTTTCGCCTGCATCTATGGCAGGCATCCTCAGAGGTGAGGTGACCTCACCTCTGAGGATGCCTGCCATAGATGCAGGCGAAACGTCAGGAGAAATGCCTCTAGAACATGGCCATATAGCCCGAAAAAACCCACAAGAACTGAGTGATTCCGGCCATGAAAGCCTTCGACAATAGCTGTATTGCTTAAGTTGGTCTGTAAGGGCAGGCTGATGTGTTGGGAGTAACTGCTACACAACAGAAGAATGCATGATTGAACTGTCCATGCCATGGTTGGTTGTGCAGGAGGAGCAATTCAGTGCTGTGGCATAGCAACTCTTTGTGTCATTTTACCCCACACAACTCTCTAATAAGAGCTTGGCCGTGAAGCCCATCCAAACATATTGCTCCTGGCACCTCAAGAAGTCCAAAGTATTGGTGGAAAGATAGTCATGTCCTACAACTGAAGCAGCAAAAGTCAATAAAGAGAAGCACTGTCTGCCTGAGGACACAAAAGTCAATCTGACTTACACCTTGTTGGGTGTTTTTTGTGCCAAAAGAAAACAAACACTAAAGCAGACCTCAACAATTTCCAGCTAGCACTCAAAATTGTAGAGGGGAGGTGTAAAAAGAGGTCTTAAGTTTCTCCTTGGGCCACACCAGCTGTTAGGAATTGTGGGAGTTGAAGTCCAGAATGCCTGGAGAGCCTAAATTTGTCCCTCGGTATCCATTGGGATTTGGTTCCATGAGCCCCCCATGCATAACAACTTCCTGTGGATGCTCAAGTCCTGTTATATACAATTGCTGAGAAAGGCGTTCTGAGATACATCTCAGAAGGAATACGAAAAGGCACCCACAAATTGAATGTCGTTGAAATACCAGCAAATCGCTTTGGAGCAGAAGCTACACAGAAAATATCTGTGCTCATCTCCTTCCTACCTGCACAGGTAAGTTGCTTTCAGGTGCAACGTTAAAAGGGAGAGGAAGGAAAAACACTTCGGAAGACCCAAAAGAAGAAAAATGAGAGGGAACCAAAGCTAAACCTCCATTTTTAGCCTGAAACAACCATCTGGAGGTTATTTCCTGCCAGATGGTAGAGCCCTCCATCAACCGGGCACCGTGCTGTAGAAAACCGCAGGAACACTTTGTAAGACTGCTTTTGAAAATGGAACAGGACTAATTGGAGGGTCAAGATGTTTCCATGTCTATTAAGATATCTATGTAACATATAAAGACTTATGATACTGATGACATTCCACACTCATGCTGGCAGAGATCTCCAATTTTCTCCCATCCATGCCATTGAATGAAGGAGTAGAGGTACTAGAAACAACAAAGAGGTTTATATAAACAGAAGTGTTGCAGAGAGGGCAAATAAAGGAAAGCAACCCTTTTCTAAGCAAAAGAAAGGACATTCAATGAAATGGACCGGGGGGGGGGGGGGGGGGGGGGGGGGATGTTTCTGGCTAAACAAAGGGTGCGTCTGCATTAAGCAATTACAAAAAGTTGATATCAGTTTAAGTGTTGTGATTTCATCCTATACAATCCTGGGGTGCAGTTTGGCAGAAAACATATGAGGTAAAGGAAAAGGTTTGCCCTTGACATTAAGTCTAGTRGTGTCCGACTCTGGGAGGTGGTGCTCATCTCCATTTCTAAGCCAAAGAGCCGGCGTTGTCCATAGACACCTCCAAGGTCATGTGACCAGCATAACTGCTTGAGCGCCGTTACCTTCCCGCTGGAGCAATACCTATTGAGCTGCTCACATTTGCATGTTTCCATAGACACCTCCAWGGTCAGGTGGCCAGCATGACTGTATGGAGCACTGTTACCTTTCTGCAGAAGTGGTACCTATTGATCTACTCACACTTGCATGCTTTTGAACTGCTAGGTTGGCAGGAGCTGGGGCTAACAGCGGGAGCTCACTCCACTCCCTGAATTCAAACCCCTGACCTTTTGGTCAGCAAGTTCAGTGGTTTAACCCACTGTGCCATCGGACGACATATAGCACTTTGAATTATCCGCTAGAGCACTCATAGGTAAAGCACTCATAGGACTTARGTTTTTTTTATTATGTTTATTGATGTTAATTMTAATGTATTTTTTATCTATGTTAAATGTTTTTAATGTTTAAACTATTTTTGTACTGTTGTGGGCATCYAATTGTGCCATTTTGTAAACCACCATGAGTKGCCCTCGGGCTGAGYATGGRGGTATAGAAGCATAGTAAATAAACAAACAAATAAATAAAGTTTTTCTCCTGACATCAAGTCCAGTTGTGTCCACTCTGGGGGCTGGTGCTCATCTCCATTCCTAAGCCAAAGAGCCGGTGTTGTCCGTAGACACCTCCAAGGTTATGTGGCTGGCATAACTTTATGGAGTGCCATTACTTTCCCACTGGAGCAGTACCTATTGGTCTACTCACATTTGCATGTTTTCAAACTGCTAGGTTTGCAGAAGCTGGGGCTAACAGCGGGAGCAACATATACTATAGTATAGGAGAACTCCAAATAGCCTTCTCCAGATAATTGATCCCACAATCCCTTAGGTAAGAGCCACTGGTCGTGAAGTGGTATTCAACTGGTATAACTATTCATTCTTCTTCATACTGCAGTTAATGAGCTGAATCAATACTCCCACTAGTAGATATAGAGAGCATCCCTAACCATAGATGCCTTTTTTCACAGAGGATACATAACAAAGCCTACTTCTCAACTCACTTTTAAAGTGTTTCTATGAAATGTTGGGGACGTATCTGCAGGGCAGGTTACTTTAAAAACCCATTGCATGAGACTTTAAGGTGGCAGATTGAAAGCATTGAAGCTGTGTCTGGCTATCCTGGGGTCTCACCTAGTCCCCTAACTTTCTCAGGGATCAGGATCCCTTCCCCATGATATAACTCTATGATTCTTAGCTTTTGTGTGTGTGTGTGTGTGTGTGTGTGTCTGTCTGTCTGTCTACCTACCTACCTACCTATCTCCCATGCCCCCCTTGAAGTCTGAGTTTGTTGTTGTTTATTTGTTCAGTCGCTTCCGACTCTTTGTGACCTCATGGACCAGCCCACACCAGAGCTCCCTGTCAGCCGTGGCCACCCCCAGCTCCTTCATGGTCAAACCAGTCACTTCAAGGATACCATCCATCCATCTTGCCCTCTTCCTTTTTCCTTCCATTTTCCCCAGCATCATTGTCTTCTCCAAGCTTTCTTTCTTCTCATTATGTGGCCAAAGTACTTCATCTTTGCCTCTAATATCCTTCCCTCTAGTCAGGCATTATTTCCTGGAGGATGGTCTGGCTTGATCTTCTTGCGGTCCAAGGCACTCTCAGCATTTTCCTCCAGCATCACAGTTCAGAAGCTAATGCATATTTATTCCGAAGGAAGTTCCGCTCTGTTCAGTGAGTCTTACTCCCAGGAAAGCAGGCAGAGGACTGCACATTTCTACTTGGATGCTTTCTTTACTCTGGCAAGCCATTATCATTTCACCATGCAAACAAGGTCGGTGGAGGACACCCAGCAAGACTGGAGCTGGCTTTTAAAGAAGCAGCCAATGTGTTTTTCCAGGAAGACTTTCATTTTCAGAAAACAAATTAATTCATGACCATGATGCACCATTTCCAAGAAAAATGGTATTGTAATAGTCAGTCCTCCACATTCACTGGGCTTAGGGCAGTGGTTCTCAACCTGGGGTCCCCAGATGTTTTTGGCCTTCAACTCCCAGAAATCCTAACAGCTGGTAAACTGGCTGGGATTTCTGGGAGTTGTAGGCCAAAAACATCTGGGGACCCCAGGTTGAGAACCACTGGATTAGGGGAATAGGACCCCTGTGAAACTAAAAAAAATGCAAATAAAGAAACTTCTCTAGGAATTTCTAGGTCTTCCAGTAAGACTATAAGGCCAACTTTCACTGGAAGCTGACCATAGAATCACATTGGAGAACCAAGAGATTCCTCAAAAGATGTTATCTCCAGAAATCCAGTATAATGTGTCTAGATCCAGGGAAGTCATGCTACCCTCTATTCTGTCTTGTTTAGACCACACCTGGAATATTGTGTCCAATTCTGGGCACCACAATTGAAGAGAGATATTGACAAGCTCGAATATGTCCAGAGGAGAGCGACTAAAATGATCAAGGGTCTGGAGAACAAGACCTATGAGGAGCGGCTTAAACAGCTGGGCATGTTTAGCCTGAAGAAGAGAAGGCTGAGAGGAGACATGATAAGGGCCATGTATAAATACGTGAGGGGAAGTCATAGGGAGGAGAGAACGACCTTGTTTTCTGCTGCCCTGGAGACTAGGATGTGGAACAATGGCTTCAAACTACAAGAAGGGAGATTCAATCTGAACATTAGAGCCGCCGCAAACTAGCGTCTTGGGAGAGCAAACTGTGCCAGCACAGTCGAAGACTCCGCCTCTGTCTCCGCCTATTTCTCCGCGCCCACGTGGCTTTCCCTTTGCTAGGGCAGCGATGTGAGCGTACTCTCGCTGTTGAATTCTGTCAAAACCGTGGTTGTGGAAGCAAGCCTTTGGCCAGTAAAATAATGCAGTAAAATACTTATGAAATACGTGCAATGACAATCGGAATAGTTATGGCGTACAATTTTTTGATCATGTGATTTTAATATTTATACTACGATATTTTTAATGCTTATCTTAATGTTTAAATGTTTTATGTCTTAATGTTTAATGGGTTTAATTATTTCAATTTATATGTTAATTTAGTTATTATGATTTTTTTTCTTTCTACATGTATGTCAGCATTGAATTTTTGCAATTAATATGTTATAAACCGCCTTGAATACTCCAACTCCCTGGGGTGGTATATAAATAAAGTAAATAATAATAAATAAATACACTTGAATGGAATATAATTCCCAGAGTTCCCCATCATGTGTGGTCATGCTGGCTGGGCAGATTCTGGAATTTGTAATCCACGACAGGAGCTCTTTCAAGTTCTGGGAAAGAACTCCCTCACATTGTCCAAATCCAAGGAAGCGGATTTTAGAAAATATTCCAGTTGGGGCCGTAAATCCTTCCCAAGAATCTTGGGTTGGTCAAATATTTACCTTCACTGCAGCTAAAAACCTGTCCAAGAGATTGACGGCCAGGACCAGCGTCTCTGGATAAAGGTGGAACTGGCATTTGAGTTTGGCCATCCACTGAATCACTTCGTCCCGTTGAGTTGGAGAAATGCCTGCATCCTGTAGAAGAAGAAGAAAATCCAGTAAGGTAAATAAAATAAAACCACACACAATGATAAAAATACCACCTTAGTTGACAATGCCCACGAGCCACTTCAAATGTATTCAACAAATGCAGGGATTCTAACTTGATATATTCAAGACATACCTACTATCTACTAATGTCATCTATGTATGCAAGGTATACATTTAAAATAATTCATACCTTGCATACGTAGATGACATTAGTAGATTTCTGAAAGCTTATCTGGTTCTGCCTTCTGTTCCCACAGTGGGAGGACCAGAAAGAGGACATAAGAGCCAATAGCACCATGTGGCGCATGGCCCACAGCAAGTGGCACTTCGGAGGCTCAGCGTCTGATTTGCTGTTACTGTTATCTGCCATCAATACATCTTATCACATTGTCCAGCACGCATTTTGGTGCTTCAAACATTAGACCTGTTTCTGGGTATGTTTGATCTGCTGATTCCAAAAATGGCAGCAATTTTCCCCTGTCATCTCGAGTTTTTGAGATGCAGGACATATGCCACCTACCAGTCTTCATCTGCTCATCCACATGGGTTGCTGTGAGTTTTCCGGACTCTATGGCCATTTCCAGAAGCATTCTCTCCTGACATGATAACTATATCTAAGAAATAAAAGCTGGTGTAATCTATCCAAAAGGCCTAGAAACAGGTTTAAAAACTAAGATGGGGGGGGGGTGTCCATGAAATACCCCCAAAAGTCACCATTCCACCCACGTTTTGCAAATCCAACTGCTTTGGATCCTGGAAACAACCTCTACCAAGATTGGGAAACAGACGTTGCTGGAGTCCAACATCTAGCATTCCTCATCCCTGGCTACACTAATAATAAATAATAAACTGTATTTATACTCCTCCACCATCTCCCCAAAAGGGACACCAGAGGACAGGAGCAGGATTCAAAACGATCTTGACAGATTAGAGAGATGGGCCAAAACTAACAAAATGAAGTTCAACAGTGACAAATGCAAGATACTCCACTTAGGCAGAAAGAAATGAAATGCAAAAGTACAGAATGGGGGATGCATGGCTCGAGAGCAGTACGTGTGAAAAAGATCTTGGAGTCTTTGTGGACAACAAGTTAAACATGAGCCAACAATGTGATGTGGTGGCAAAAAAAGCCAATGGGATTTTGGCCTGCATCAATAGGAGCATAGTGTCTAGATCTAGGGAAGTCATGCTCCCCATGCTCTATTCTGCCTTGGTCAGACCACACCTGGAATACTGTGTCCAATTCTGGGCACCACAATTGAAGGGAGATGTTGACAAGCTGGAATGTGTCCAGAGGGGCGACTAAAATGATCAAGGGTCTGGAGAACAAGCCCTATGAGGAGCGGCTTAAGGAGCTGGGCATGTTTAGTCTGAAGAAGAGAAGGCAGAGAGGAGATGATAGCCATGTATAAATATGTGAGAGGAAGCCACAGGGAGGAGGGAGCAAGCTTGTTTTCTGCTTCCTTGGAGACTAGGACGCGGAACAATGGCTTCAAACTACAAGAGAGGAGTGATTAGGACATTAGGAAGAACTTCCTGACTGTGAGAGCCGTTCAGCAGTGGAACTCTCTGCCCCGGAGTGTGGTGGAGGCTCCTTCTTTGGAAGCTTTTAAACAGAGGCTGGATGGCCATCTGTCAGGGGTGATTTGAATGCAACATTCCTGCTTCTTGGCAGGGGGTTGGACTGGATGGCCCATGAGGTCTCTTCCAACTCTTTGATTCTATGCCACGGGCAGCTTACATGAGTGCATTACAATAAAATAACACAAAAGCATAGAACAAACATCACAATAAAATAAATAGCAATAAAGAATGCAAAATAACACAGTGAAAAATCAAACACAATCACAATAAGACTCGAGTAATCTCGCTTAGAAGGGAAGAACTGAGCTACCTTTTCAATGAGACAGTATTCTGAAAAACCACATAATAATGCCTTTTGAGATTCTGAACAGTCAACCTGCTTCTTTGTCAACCGCATCTGACAATGAGGCCATGACCCCGAGCTTGTATTAATTTCACCCAAAAGTCTCATTCTTGCTCTTTATCTGGAGTAATTGGAGACCTTTTCCCTTTTTGAGCTGGGTAGAGAAAGAGATCTGGCGACAGTCACTAAAAACAACCATTATAAGCTTGGATCAACTTCAGGTGGCCCACCGAAACTGCAGGAAGACGCAGGTAATTTATACAAGTTCTTTGAAGGAACAACTGTTCTTGCCACTTAAGTAATTCCTTGGCACAACTCACAAGAACTCTTTGTATAAATCCTAGGTGCCCTTTGGAAAGATTCCCATATTTTTTTCAAAAATTGTTTCCTCCAACCCAGGTACAGCTTAATTTCCACCCCTCTCTCATCACTGTAATCCTTCAAGCTTCATGAAGCTCAAATTGCTCTTTTGGGGAGGTAACAAAAAACCATTTATTATTGTGTGTTTTCTTAATCCAGAAATTACTGCCACGAAAGTATCTACTTTGCTGCTGTCCTCAGTACCAACAGATTTTGGAAAAGTGGGGATTTTTTTTGCTCTGCAACTCCCAAAATCCCATAGTTTTTATGCTGCTCAAGGAATCCTGGGAGCTTTTAAAAAAGGGGTATTTGCAAACTTTAGCAACAAATTGTGGGGTTAGTTTCCAAAAGGTACCAAATCCCCAGAATGGTGAAAAATGCATTATAGGTGGCTGAACACTGTGGCACAGTGGGTTAAACTGCTGAGAGCTGCTGAATTTGCTGACTGAAAGGTTGGCAGTTCAAATCCAGGGAGCGGGGTGAGCTCCTGCTGTTAGCCCCAGCTTCTGCCAACCTAGCAGTTTGAAAACATGCAAATGTGAGTATCACTCCAGCAGGAAGGTAACGGCGCTCCATGCAGTCATGATCTTGGAGGCGTTTACAGACAACACTGGCTCTTCGGCTTAGAAATTGAGATGAGCACCACCCTCCTGAGTCGGACACAACTAGACTTAATGTCAAGGGGAAACCTTTACCTTTACTTTACACTGTTGGCTAGGAGTAGAATATTCTGTACAGATCAAAACTATCAAAATGTATGGAATCGCTATGGGACAGGGCTTGGAAAATTTTTATTTATGTATTTGTTTGTTTGTTTGTTTGTTTATATTCCGCCCTTCTCACCCTGCAGGGGATTTAGGGTGGATACATGGCAAACATTCAATGCCATTAGACATACAACATATATAGACAGACACAGAGGCAATTTAACATTCCAGCTTTCCGACTTCATGAGGTTATGCTCGATTCCGGCCACAGGGGGAGCTGCCGCTTCACTGTCCACTTGTGACACCGAGTCCTTGATGGAGTACTTCCTCATTCTTACACATGCTGCTGGAAGTTTTTATGGTGTCATAAACTAGTTAAAGTAGCCTTCCCCACATAAAGTGGTACCCAAATTTCCTACCTGACAGATGCAACTGTCTTTCAGGCTGCATAAGTCAATGGCAAGCTAGACTATTAATGGTCAGGAGCTCAGTCCAACCTGGGCTGGCTTTGAACTCATGACTTCTCTGTCAGTAGTGATTTAATGCAGCTGGCTACCAACTAGCTGTGCCACATAGGTCAAAAGCAAGCTAGACTATGAATGGTCAGGAGCTGACTCCAACCTGGGCTGGCTTTGAACTCATGACCTCTCGGTCAGTAGTGATTTAATGCAGCTGGCTACAAACTAGCTGCACCACATAGGTCAACAGCAAGCTAGACTATGAATGGTCAGGAGCTCATTCCAACCCGGGCTGGCTTCAAACTCATGACCTCTCAGTCAGTAGTGATATAATGTAGCTGGCTACCAACTAGCTGCGCCACATAGGTCAACAGCAAGCTACACTATTAATGGTCAGGAGCTTACTCTGACCCTGGCTGGCTTTGAACTCATGCCCTCTCGGTCAGTAGTGATTTAATGCAGCTGGCTACTAACTAGCTGCGCCACATAGGTCAACAGCAAGCTAGACTATTAATGGTTGGGAGCTTACTCCGACCCGGGATGGCTTCGAACTCATGCCCTCTCGGTCAGTAGTGATTTAGTTACTAACTAGCTATGCCACATAGGCAACAGCAAGCTAGACTATTAATGGTCAGGAGCTTACTCCGACCCGGGCTGGCTTCGAACTCATGACCTCTCGGTCAGTAGTGATTTAATGCAGCTGGCTACCAACTAGCTGCGCCACATAGGTCAACAGCAAGCTAGACTATTAATGGTCAGGAGCTTACTCCGATCCGGGCTGGCTTCGAACTCATGCCCTCTCGGTCAGTAGTGATTTAATGCAGCTGGCTACCAACTAGCTGTGCCACATAGGTCAACAGCAAGCTAGACTATTAATGGTCAGGAGCTTACCCCGATCCGGGCTGGCTTCGAACTCATGACCTCTTGGTCAGTAGTGATTTAATGCAGCTGGCTATTGCTAACTAGCTGTGCCATAACCTGGTCCTCTTTTACAGCAAAAGAATGCACATCCTCAGCATGTTATTTGCAATTCCAGAAAACATTTGTTCAGAAGGACATTGTACCTTTTGGAAACAAGCTCCACAATTCCAGTTAATCAATCGAAGATCCTTGCCTTATGGAGAAGCAAAGAAAGTCAACTTTCAATTAGAAAAAAAAATGCCTCTCCTGCACTTGCTGAGCCGAATTTGGGTTTTGGACAAACTGGTGAAAATTGGACCACCTAACACAGCTATTCTGCATGAATTCTGATTTGGAGAGAGAAATCTCTCTATACTTTTACTATCTGATATTGTACATACACAGATCTTGTACATATTGAAATAAAAACAGTGGGATCGGCTCCTTTGACGCTGAAAGATATTCTAATTTAGATTTCAACTTTCACAACACAGAATCCGAAGGGCTTTGAGGAGAAGAGGAGTGGAAAATTCCTGTCCTGAGAAAGCTTCCGCACACATATGCGCTCCTTGGCCGATTTTTGAAATTATGTGCCCCTGGGGGAAGAGCAGGATTTGAAGCCTAAATGCAGGG